CTATATAAACAGACCCCGCCCCCAGGGGCATCCTGAGGCCTGGTGTCACCCGGAGCAGATACCGGGTGACAGCCTGCCGTGACGTCATCGCGCATACAAAGTTATCTTTTTGATACTTGCCGGCCATCTTGGTGATGGACGCCAGCAGAGAGAGGAAGGAATGTTCTCCCACCGGATCCCCTTCTCTCTCTCCTGCAGTTGTCGGGCTCTCGGTCTATGACCGAGTGCCCGACTTTTTAGAGGGGGTGACACCAAAATGACTGTCAGTCATTTTGGTGTCACCCCTCCAATGGTGTCAACCGGGTGCAGGCTCCTTTTTCGTTAATGAGGCTGCCCACTACATAAAAGGGACAATAGGGAGGCTTGGGGGATAGAGAGCTGAGATCTGCACATATCTTCAGCTGCTTATATCTCTGTATGTACTCGATTTTATGTCATGCTCCTTCACTATAATCTAATTTTCAATTGTCCGTTTGGTGACAGGTTTTTTAATGCACAACTGCAATGTATCGTCTGGATACACCAGAATAAAAAAACATAAAACAAAAAGGAGTTTATTAAAAAAAAAAAAAAAACTGCCTGCACATGTGCTCCTTGTGTATGAACCGGCTGTTGTGAGAATGGGAGAAAATCCAATGTTTTGGGGCTATTTTCTCTTCTGGTTGAATGTTCTTCAGATATATACGGGCAGTAGTAGAGACAGGTTCATTCAGCGTGAATGGGGAAAATACTGAATTATGGCCACTAGATGGCGCCAAGGATCACAGGAAAGAAATGTATCTTCGTAACAATTGTAGAGAACACCGGAGGGAATAGATGTAACCACTGCAGGGACTACTATGCAGGACGAATAGCTATGTGAATGTTTTTATAAACCTCAAAAAGTGGGGTGTGAGTAGTTAGTAACATTCACCTTGCTGTCAGTGAGTAGTTAGTTACATTCACCTTGCTGTTAGTCACATTCACCTTGCTGTTAGTAGTTAGTCACATTCACCTTGCTGTTAGTAGTTAATAACATTCACCTTGCTGTTAGTAGTTAATAACATTCACCTTGCTGTTAGTAGTTAGTCACATTCACCTTGCTGTTAGTAGTTAGTCACATTCACCTTGCTGTTAGTAGGTAGTCACATTCACTTTGCTGTTAGTAGTTAGTAACATTCACCTTGGCGAATGTCAAACAGCTGAAAACCCTTTTGACATTCATATCCCCGTACAGCGCACGGACGCCCTCACAATGAACTTCTCTTATTTGCTCCCTTCTGACTTGTGAAACAAACAAACCATTGAAAGAGTTTTCTTATATCTGTGTGATAAGTGCAAAGAACAAAACAACCTGTTGGTCCTACCAGAAATCCGGTGAGCTGGTGACTTCCTGTGCCGTCGGCCTGTATACTGACTGCTGTTACCAGCTACATTGTTCCCAACTATCTCCTAGAAGTGTTGTCACCCTAGGACAGGAAGTGTGTTACTGCCAGGATCTCCAGGTGAGAATAAGGATCGGTGAGATGCAGCATAGGGCGGTTTTGTTTGGGGCTTTGTATGCGCTCTGAATGTGTCATATAAATGCTTCTTGTATCACTTGTCAGTTTGCAGGCACGCAGTATATGGACTGTTTCTACAAATGTAAACGCACGCATACTTTTATTTATTGTTCTCTGATAAGGTCCAGGTCAATATTCCCTTAAAAAAAAAAATATATATATATGTGAAACATGTCATGTGATTAGGGGTGGCCAAACGTTTGCTGTAAATCTGCTGATATTGTGAACATTCACTGGCAGGCTGGAGCTCTCCAAGCCGGGGATTTTCCACTGCCGGCTTCTCCGCAACCACACAGGACAAGTCACCAAATTCTTCTTTCTGTCAGCTTTACTGTCACTTCTCTATTTGCAGGGAAATCCTAAGAACAATGGGTTGGAGGTCACATGACTTGATGAGTGACGGGACCTGCACTGGTCCTCAAGCTCGCTGGACTACAAGTATAGTGACGCCACTGCGGCACCTCCAGCTGTGCAGAAACTACAACCCCCACGCAGCCAGGCCCGGCGCTACCGCAAGGCAAGTCAGGAGGCCGCCTGAGGGCGCTGCAGGGTGAGGGCGGAAAAAACAGGGCATTAGAAAAAAAAAACACAGCGCAAGCAGGCCCAGCGCTACAGGGGGAGGGGGGTGCAAAAATGCACATTGCCTGTGTAGGCAAGAATCCTAGCACCGGCACTGCACGCGGCATTGCAGGACACAAGGGTCCTTGTCGGCAGAGTGCTGGCAAGGGAGCTAAAGGACAGACTCAGTAGGTGGGGTGTTGGACCTCAGCAGGGAGCCCACTGCTTCCCCACAGAGACCAAGGGTCATTCTCTGCAGGCTACTGGCAGGGAAGCTATAGGTCAGACTTAGGGGAAAGGGTTGGACCTCAGCAGAGGGACCACTGCTTCCACACAGAGAGCAAGGATCCTTCTCTGCAGAGTTCTAGCAGGGAAGCTATAGGTCTGATTCAGTAGGTGGATGTTGGACCTCAGCAGAGAGACCATTGCTTCCCTAAAGAGAGCAAGGGTCCTCCTCTGCAGAGTGCTGGCAAGAGAGCTAAAGGGCAGACTCACTAGGCATGGTGTTGGACCTCAGCAGAGAGACCACTGCTTCCCTAAAGAGAGCAAGGGAGCTTTATTGCAGAGGAGCTATAGGACATCGAGCACCTTTTCATGGTTAGCACCCCTCCTATGGTACACGCTGTGCCCTATGTCACTGACACTACACAGCTTGGGTGGGGAAAGGAAGTGGGGAAATAAAGGATTTCCTGGCAGGATCAACAGCTCCTAAATCTCTGTTATGGGGAAATCTGGAAAACAAGTCTGCCGTACAATGCAATCCACAGACTGCAGCAGAGATGTCAGTTTTCATTTTGTCCACAGTTCCAAAAAGACAAGAAATTCCCCAAAGCCAGCATGGGCAGAAAATGGGCAGAAAGGAGTCATAAGGATTTTGTCAGCCATTGTTTGATAGAAAAGACCGGCGTGTTGAGTCATCATCCAACATTCCAGGATGACTGGTCCCCCCACCAGGAGATGGGAACGTTCGCCGCGGCAGGTATTGTCCCCCGCAGTACCCTCTCTTGTCCACCAGAGGGCGCCATCGAACCCGTCTGACTCACCCTTTCGCAGCAGGTTATTAAGACAATCTTAGGAAAGCAACGGGGGAGTTCCCAAAGTCATCAAACCCCCTCCAAGTCTCTCATTCCCTAGCAGAGTGCACTGATAAAATGGATCTAAGGAAGGCTGCCGCTCTGTGTCTAGGGCTGTGGAGCGCCTGGCTCTGGGCTGGCCAGAGTCCCCAGGCTGCGGCAGTGCTGCCCACCGCACACAGGCAAGAAACTGCCAGGAGGGCGCTGCCAGCTACCCAGGAGACTGGCACCCCGCAAAGGGATACCCACCGGCACGTCACCTCCAGAAAAGAGAGCTGCGGCAAGGCTGCCGTGGTGCCCCATGAATACATGCTTTCCCTGTACAGGAGACTATCCCGCAAGGAACACAGAGGGCTGCACAGCAACAGCACACGGGACAGGGCAGCTGCCAACACGATTGCCAGCTTCGTGGACCAGGAGCACGGTGAGTCTGTCTCTGATGTGAGGGTGGCTGGGTGTAGGCTTCTCTAAAAAGTCATAAAACAGTGGCAAAAAGCTATTAAATGAATTAATAGGTGTGCATTGGGAGTAATACATTTACAGGTGGCATGATCATGGTGCCAGCTGCACTGCCAACCTGGGTCATCATATAGACATTCACAAGTCTTTAATCATCTATAAACTATATGTACATATCACTATCCATAATTTATCAACCTCTGAGGTCTGCCTTCCATCCACCTGTCACCAGCCCAGCCAGCTTCTAAAGGCAACAATGGGCATCAGGGGGGCAAGAGGTAATGCAATGGAAGAGGTGACACCTGCCCAGCCCCTAGCCCTGTCCTCTGTAGTCCTTTACACATCGCCTGCTTTCATCTGCGACCCGATTTCCCTTTTTCTCAAATCATTTTATTATATATATGGTATGATATTAACATATATTTATACTGAGATGATATATTCTAATTAAAATCTAATTTTGGGCTCAGGCTGTGTCCCCTGTGAGTCATTGTGAATAATTGCATGCTCGTTATACCCTAGCCAAGCCAAGCATGCTTAGAGTGACCTTAAACTGCATTAAAATCTACTGTAAAGAGCATCGATTGTATATAATATAATATGATACAATATAATGTAACACGATACAATACAATATAACAGGGCTCAAAATCTCCACTCGCAATATTATATAATACATGTTCAACATGACACGATACAATATGACAAGAATTACAGGTGAAACTGGAATAATTAGAATATGGTGCAAAGTTCATTTATTTCACTAATGCAACTTAAAAGGTGAAACTAATATATGAGAGAGATATATATATATATATGTAATTACAACCTCCAGCAACCAATCTCTCATCATCTTACATGACTGCAGTGATATCTAATGGTTTCCTGGATGTGTATTGCACGATGTAGCATGAGAAGTAATTATAGAATATTCATATTTGCGGTGGATTTTAGTCTTCTTGTTTCTTCATTGTATATAAAACTTGATACATTGTATTTCGGTCACTTAGTGTTGTTAGTAAAAAAATGTGACAGTGAGTTCATCACCATCCTAATGCCAGCATGGCACTCTGCTCACCATTTGACGCCTGGGGTTATTGATGTATCTTTTATTATTTTACCTATTTGTATTGTTTTACCTTTTATACTGCATGACAACGTCGCAGCCTCATAAGAAGCTTGTACAGAGAGTTTAGTGTGTTCGATTTACTGCTTTTCCCTTCCCTGTAGCGTTTCATTGATCCTTTATACATGTCAATAGAACAAACTTATCTAATATAACGGTGCGAGATACAGCAACCCCATTTTATATACTGTAGGAAGTGAGGTGCTCATGTCTGATTGGTTGAGGAGGGTTAGTGACTTCTGTGCATTGCTTTGAATACATGTAGAGAGGATCCAGTGCATGGTGGCTCATTGTCCTGTTGATGTGCATATAAAGCATTTTATTGATTCTTGTATTGTGTTATGTTGTATATTGTTATACCAGGTTGAGAAGATTCAGTGTACAGTTTGTCATTCCTTTGCTCTTGTGTATATTATTTTATTGATTGTTTTATTGTGATAAACCAGGTTGGAAGGATTCAGTGCATGGTGGCTCATTCCCTTGCTCTTGTGTGTATTGGGTATTTTATTGATCATTGTATTGTGTTATGTTGTATATTGTTATATCCGGCAGAGAAGATTCAGTGCATGTGGCTCATTCCCTTGCCCTTGCGTATATTATTTTATTGATTGTTGCATTGTGTCATGTTGTACAAAGTTAAACCATAGATAAATCTCAGAGCATGGTGGCTCATTCCCTTGCTCTTGTGTCTGATGAGTATTTATTGGTTGTTTTGTGTTATGTATTATGTTATATCACATTGAGAAGATTCAGTGTATAGTGGTTCATTCCCCTGCTCTTGTGTATATTAATGTATTGATTGTTGTATTGTGTTATGGTGTATATTGGTAAACCAGGTTGAGAAGATTCAGTACATGGGCTCAATCCCTTGCTCTTGTCTATATTGAGTACTTTATTGGTTGTTGTATTGTGTTGTATCAGGGGGTGAAGATTCAGTGTATAGTGGCTCATTCCCTTGCTCTTGTGTCTGATGAGTATTTTATTGGTTGTTGTATTGTGTTATGTTGTATTATGTAATATCACGCTGAGAAGACTCAGTGCATGTGGCTCAATTGCTCTTGTGTACATTGAGTACTTTATTGGTTGTTGTATTGTGTTTTATCAGGCAGAGAAGATTCAGTGCATGTGGCTCATTCCCCTGCTCTTGTGTATATTATTTTATTGATTGTTGTATTGTGTTATGTTGTTTAATGGCAAACCAGACAGATAAATCTCAGTGCATAGTGAGTATTTAATTGCTTGTTGTATTATGTTATACCAGGTTGAGAAGATTCATTATAGTGTCGTATTCCTCTGCTCTTTTGTTTGATGAGCATTTTATTGATTGTTGTGTTATTTTGTATTATAATAAACCAGATTGAGAAGATTCGTTGTATAGTGGTCACTGGTTCATTCCCTTGCTCTTGTGTCTATTGAGTACAGTGTTGAATGTTGCATTGTGTTATACTGTCAGGCAGACATTTCAGTGGATGGCTGCTCATTCTCCTGCTCGTTATACCGTATTTTATTGATTGTTGTATTGTGTTGTATATTGTTAAACCAGACAGAGACGTATCAGTGTTGGTGGCTCCTTCTCCTGATCATAGTGAGTATTTGATTGCGTGTTGTGTTGTATTATTTTTAGTATGGTACCAGGTTGAGAAGATTCAGTATAATGGCTTGCTCCCTTTGCTCCTGTGTCTGTTGAGTATTTTATGGCTTCTTGTATTATATTATATTGTATAATGTTATATCAGAGACATTTCAGTGCATGGTGGCTCTTTCTCCTGCTCTCATAGGGAGTATTTTATTGTTCCTTGTATTATAATATGTTGTATAATGTTATATCAGACAGAGACATTTCAGTGCATGGTATCTCCTTCTCCTGCCCTATATAGGGGATAGTTTATTACTTCTTGTGTTCTGCTATCACACCATCAGTCCATGTTAATGGTTGTTTTAGCTCTTTGTGTACTTGCAGTGAATTGAATCTGGAGGATTTCAGGTTAGTGTCGGGACATCTGTGGTTGCTGTAGAGATCTCCTCCCTCATCTTGCTGCATTTATTGCTCCTTCTGGTGGGAACATTGCACCTAGGGGTAGAAAGGCATCCCTGTGTCCATATGTCCTCCCTTCCTGTGTGGTTGGGATTGGCTTGACCTGATGCACCTCCTGTTGGTTTTAAATTGCAATCGTGGAGATTTTGGTTCAGATGCCTGCGAAGCCTCACACTGTCACCATGGAGAGCTTCAGCCCTCAGCCCATTCCCACCAGCAGGTTCTCCCCATGCAGATAACCTGAGGGGCATAGTGCCCTGTTCTGTTACCGTGCCACCCCCTCCTTCCATTCTTAATGACACTTCCACCCCCCCCAATTCTTCATCAGTCTCATCCTCATCCTGAGAGCTGTCAGAGTGATGACCATATATGGAAGGTACAGAGCACACCTGTGACCGGAAGCAGATAGAGGATACATTGTATATAATAATTCCTTCTATGAGCAATATGTGTCACATCATTACACACTCTTTTCTTTTTCTTTTTGAAGATTCAAGAGGTTTAGAAGCTCAATAGTTGAATTACAAACAGTCACATAATAAAAATATATCAATCATACAGTACACTATATTTTTATATTGTGGTATATTTTTCCTTTTTTATATTATATTTTAATAACAAGAATTATAAATGACCAATCCTGTGAGCTGTCATTTCTATTTGATGTAATAAACACTTCCTTCATTGGAGATTATTCAGACAGTGTAATAGTCTGCCCTCAGGGAAGATCTGCAGAATAGCTCTCTAATTTATTACCGTGTCAGAGGAGAGATTTCAATAAGTTCACACAGACCCTGAGGATTCTTCCTGCACCTTTGCAGTAGAGGAGCTGCATGTAGAATATCGCACTGTACTATATAGTATGTATCACAGCAATCACACCTCACTGCATAGGATATATAGGTATCCCAGCACCTCCAGCAATCACACCTCACTGTATGGGATATATAGATATCCCAGCAATCATACCTCAATGTATAGGATATATAGGTACCCCAGCACCCCCAGCTCACTGTATAAAATGTTAAAGGTAACCCGGGACCCCCAGCAATCACACTTCACTGTATAGGACATGCAGGTATCCAAGCATCCTCAGCAATCACACCTCAATGTATAGGCTAAGGCTATATAGGTATCCCAGCACCCCCACCAATCACACCTCAATGTATAGGCTAAGGCAATATAGGTATCCCAGCACCACCACCACCAATCACACCTCAATGTATAGGCTAAGGCTATATAGGTATCCCAGCACCCCCACCAATCACACCTCAATGTATAGGCTAAGGCTATATAGGTATCCCAGCACCCCCACCAATCACACCTCAATGTATAGGCTATATAGGTATCCCAGCACCCCCAGCAATCACACCTCAATGTATAGGCTAAGGCTATATAGGTATCCCAGCACCCCCAGCAATCACACCTCACTGTATAGGCTATATAGGTATCCCAGCACCCCCAGCAATCACACCTCAATGTATAGGATATATAGGTATCCCAGCAGCCGGGGCAATCAAAGTGCACTGCCCATGTTCACTCATCCCCAACAGACACTGACAGGTCACAGTGTGCAGGGCTGCACCAGGCAGTAAATCCAGCCAGTGAACTGCTCATCCAGCTTAGTAAATCCAGGTAAAAGTATGTGGAGATGGCTAGTAAAGGGTTAATGAGGCGAGCTCTGACCCATCTCTTCCCCATTTAATAGAAAATGAATCCAGATGACCCTTCAAAGAGCTCCTTATCTCCAGCATTGCAGGAATGTCAGGCTGAGGAGGAATGGATCAGACAGAAACTCTGCCTG